CAGGAGACATAAAGGCAAGTGGTTGGGTCCTCTCAGTGCAAATCCTCCTCCAAGACTAAGATGCAATGGGAAAACACGTTCTGATTGGTGACCACGCACATCACCCATAAAGAGAAGTGACCGAAGAACATCAAAGAAGCAGCAAGCTAAGCCCTGCATCGTTCAGTAGACTATGGTGAACCCGGGTAGAGACGTGGTCGGCCAGCAGTGAGGCAAGACCTGGGGACTCATAGGCTCAGAGTCAGTGACACATCCACAGAGGACTAGAGTGGAGACCGAAGCGACCAACTAATAAGAAGAGGGTGGACAAATGCAGGAACGCCCACACCTGCAGATGATACCCACTTGCCATGGCTCCAATGATGGGACGAACAGAGCTCAACCCGAAGAAGAAAGAAGAGGGGAAAAAAGTGTCATCTGATATAATTTAATAAACTGGACATCCACCTATAAATGCAGTAGCTCAAAAGAGGAAACAAATCCCTGCTCCAAGAATTATTCCCACCCCCTCCACACAAAAAGTAGATAGGGATGGTAATCTAACCAAAATGGAAGAAGGGATACAAAGGTAAGAAGTGACTGGCTTACAAGTTTTCAAGAGGGAACCTAGATCCACAGGGTGGGGAGGATGGTAGAGTGTCCAGTGAGTAGTATCTGACCTGTCTAGGAAGAGCAGATGAAAAGAAATGCAGATGGGTCCCTTGGGATGCAAGGGTGAATAACTGTTACCAGGACTGATTGTGAAGACTGGAAATGTAAAGGTGGACATTTTATAGCAAGGAGGGGAGTGATTAACCTTTCAGTCTAGGAGCGGAGGGCCCTGGGACCATCAATGGAGAAGAGCAGAGAGCGGGACCCCACCCAGAGGAGCAGTGAGGCCTGAGACTGAGACAGAGAGGATGACATGAAGAGAGAGGATGATGTGAAGAGATGGAGTGGCTGGGGACTAGGGATCCAGAGAGGGAGAGGGGCTGTGTGCTGAGGACCGTGTGGGGAGGCTGGGCGGGATTGCAGGGTATACCTTTTGGTTGGGCGATGATGCATGGATGGGATGGTAACTATGGCAATGAGATGATGTATGATGGAA